TATATATATATATATATATATATATATATATATATATATATATATATATATATATATATATATATATACACATACATATATATAGATGTACATACATACACACACACACACACACACACAAAAGATGGCAAGCAGTTCTTATAAGACTATAAATATGTTCCAAAGAATCACTTTTTTGAGCTAGAAAGTCTAGACATGAATTCTCCTTTTTTCCATTTTTGGGGGGAAGGTGCTGTTTTTTTGCTGTGTGGGACATTACCGCCAAAGTCATCCCATAATTCCTTAATGAAAAATGTCTGAATGAAAATTCATCATCGGTTTATTATCCCTAAAAGTTTGTTTCTTCTAAAAATAAGACCTAGACTCTAACTGTCTCATTAAGTTAAGGCATCCTTAGATCAATTCCGGGCATCCTTATCGTTGTCTCTGCAGGGTCAAAGAAGTGGCTTGCCACTGAACTTTGACCTCTTCCAGAATCTTTTCTAAAGCTGTGGGATTCCAAAGTTGACTCTGCTTGGCTTCTAAAAGAACCAAATAGTGAAGGTTATCTGGATGCTCCCACCTAACAAGGCAATGAACACTCCAATTTGGTTTTGTTCGTCATCATTCATCATTATATTTTCTTGAAATGAATCTCATACCTTCATATACAGTAATATCAGAATGTAAATATGTGATTGAAACACAATAATTCATTTTTACTGCCTTTCTTACTTGGAAATATAAAATGTGTCTTTGTATGTCTGTGTAGTGCATACGCACACAGATTATCTTTTTCCAATAAAAATAGTAATTTGAAGTCTTGTACAGAGAGGTATTTATCTTTTCAGATTGGAAGAAATTGTTCCTACTGTTTGCACAATGGGTTCCCTAAATGAATCTGAATGACAATTTCTTTTTTGAACCATATAAACTTTTTAAAAAGGGGAGATTGGGGGCAGGCAAATCTTGCAAAATGGCTGGGGACTGGAGATAATGGAAAGAACAGTCACTTCATCTATGATTGGTAGATAAAAGTACAAAGTATCGTACAAAGGCTGAATCAACCTTTGTAATTTATGTTTCTCACTAACAGAAGGATTTCATGAGCGTAGAACTCAGTGATGGGCATATTAAAGTCGGCTATGATCTAGGCTCAGGAACAGCTTCAGTTGTCGGCAACCAGAGCCACAATGATGGGAAATGGAAATCATTCACCTTGTCAAGAATTCTCAAACAAGGTGAGTTCTTGCAGGGATAACAAAAACATCCTAATTATCTTATCCAACATGGCTAACCACCTAATCACAGAGAAGATGATGTATAAAATTGTAGGTTTAGAAAGTTGTAGAAGAAAATGATTTAGCAACTTCTTTTGCTTTCAATTATAGATGGCTCAGGTTAGTTGTGACTGATTGCAGTGTCAAATGGGTCCCTTATGATTTTGTTTTGAATGAGATAGCTTAATTCTCTAGGCATAATTCTACCTCACAGCTAGCTAAATTACAATCAGAAATGTATTCCAAGTGAAAAATGAATTTCTCATGCAGTGCCCCGATGTTTTTCCAAAGTTCATAAAACAAATCTACACTATTTCTTTTGGATGGAAGTCAGTTTTACATTTTATAGTGTCTTTCATATTTTGCATTTCTTAAAGTGACTTTAAAAGGCAGTGAATTAAATGCTGCTGGTGTTATCTCTGTGCTCATAATACAAGCTAGTTTCATTTTGCTAAGTGCCACAACCCTAGTAATTCCGAAAGAAAAGGCTTCCTTTAGATAGAAAGGATATCTTAAATGTATACAGTAACTATACTTGCTATTGAATTCCACCCAATATTTTAGAGAAAATGTAAGGATTCAAGCAAACTGAATATAATTTCAGTATAATGAATGAACATTTTCAGAAGAGTTTCACACACTGCTGAGTAACAGGAGAAAAATGTGATGCAGTGTGAACTTTTCCATCTATTAGTATTGTTTGCTAAGATCTGGAATCTGGGAGAATGTGTTTTTTTCCCCAACAAATTAAAACTTTCCTAGATTTATCTCTAAATTGAGGCTGAACTTTATAAAATGTTATATAACACATCCAATTGATCACGTTTATTCTGAGAAGTAAAGCCAAGTTAATTGTTTTCTGAAGCATCTCTTTATAGTCATATGTCTTCACTGTTCTGCACTAAATTTGTATATCATATTTCTTCAGATAAATGTCACAATAGATTTATTTCATGATATTGGCCTACATGTAAGGTGATGCACTCAAATAGCAGGAATTTCCTCTCTGTTTTTTTATCTAGAAGACCTTCAGGCTCCCTTCCAAGTGTGTAATTCTATGATCTTTGCATTCCTCACAATCCCCTCCATCCTCAAATATCCAGGGACTTTCTGCATATTGAAAATACAATTAAATGGTACAAATCATAAGTACCATTTCGATAAAGAGGGGAAAAAGTATTTGAAATATTTCCAGCTATATATACCCACACACTAACATTTTTCTTTGTATTTCCTCAGCTAATGTATCAATTGTAGACATAGATTCTAACAATGAAGAAATCATACCAGCAGTTTCTCCAGGAAAGCACTTTGGTCTCAATCTGAAAGCTAATGAGCCCATTTATTTTGGTGGACTGCCATCGCTGAGAAGAAACCTAAGGTAGTGTGACTTAACATATAGTTAATTATAAAGATTCAATAGCAAAACCTGCCTCGTTCATTGAACAAGACTTTATTTCCCAGTATGTTAGAGAAATCTACAAAATGATGAGATATAATCACCCTAGCACTAGGTCTAATTCCTGGCAACTACATGGATCCATCTGTACAGTTTTCAGGTCAATATGGGAGAAATTTGCTGTTGCCTTCTGTACGACTTTAATTAGGGAATTATAGGTTTCTTTTGTCTATGGAGATTCTCAGTCATCCAGGTATGGTTGTCCCACAGGTGATTTTCCAGTTGCCTTCTGAAAAAGCACCTTTGGGATAGGCTTCTTTTATTTATAAAGGATCAGGCTTTTCAACAGGGAGGTTGAGAGTTTTTGAGAGGCCTATAAAGACAGCCATGTAGATCCTTTGTCCCCTCCTTTTTTCCTGTTACTGCCTCCATCCTTGCTAACTTTTGCACCTTTCAAATAAAATAAACAATGGAATAATAGTCTACTTATTCTGAAAAAGTGTGCTTTTCTGTTGATTTTTTTTAAACTGCCTAATAACTACATAATTGATATTCTGCTGAATATCTCCCAGTGATTAGTGAAAAATCCATTTTAAGTCTTCCATAATTCGTAATGGTTTCTGTAGTAGAGAAAATAATGTCTCAAACAAATCTTTTTATTTATTTACACACCCAAGCACAAACATAATACACACACAGACATACACACACACACGTACATGCACATACACACACCACACAAAACCCTTGTTTCTGAGGTCACTAACATAATAGAAAATAAGCTTTACCAGTGTGGTCCTGATTTGATCTTCATCGCTTTAAAGACAATGAGGTTTGAAGTAAATATTTAACCTGTCTTGTACAACTGGTCTACCTTGCATAGGCTTGTAAGTTCCTCTTTGTAGTCTTCAATTGATGCATTGCATGTGTAACTTGGATTGCTCCCATGTTTTAAATATTGAACAAGCGTGCAGGTTCTTAAACTATTGGTGGATGCTCCAGCCTGCATGCACACCCACACAGTGAGGACCTAAAAGGGGAGAGAGAGAAGGAATTTCCAGGATCACCTTTCATTTGTGGCATTATTTTGTTTCATTTGCTAAAATATTGAGGGTCAAAATAGACTTAAGCAAATAAGAACATGACTCTAGAACCGGTGCTGACAAAAAAGTGACTTTCCTCCCCCAAAATATTGCTTGGCTCTGCAGATCTTGGAATGAAGTGTCTCCATGGCTTTCCAAGATGCAAGCTGATAGAATAGCCCATTAGCTTCATCTGTTCTTTTAGGAGAATCTAACTGTAAAAGATGTCTAAAGGTCTTTCATTAGGCTTTCTATTCAGTGTGATTCTTGCACTGCCCCTCAGCCTTGGCTTCTCAGCCACAGAATTGACTGCCTTCCCCCCCCACACACACACACACACTCATTCAGTAAAGATGGCATTGGAATTAAAGGGATGTGTTAGGGGAAGGGCAGCACAGCTTTTAACTTTTTTCTCCAGCTTCACACACCAATCACATACTCCAGTGGTTCTCAACCTGTGGCCTGCGGACCCCTGCGGGGACCATGATGTCATCACAGGGGGTCCACAAAGACTTGAAGTAATGTTATGATTTAAATCTTTTGTTAAGTCTTGAGGGTCCATGGTCCGTGGCCACAAAAGGTATTTAAAGGGGGTCTGTGGTGAAGTAAAGGTTGAAGACCACTGACTTACTCAGTAGCCTAACTCTACCTTAATCTTAGCTGTAAAGTGGTGCCAGTATTTTGGCCTAGAAAACTCCTTCTCTCTCTCTCTCTCTCTCTCTCTCTCCCTCTCTCCCTCTCTCCCTCCCTCCATCCATCCATCCATCCCGTAACCAAACTATTCATGATGGTTAAAACAATATAAAGAAAAACAATAGTACAAATATAAAAGTTAAATAACAATAAAATAATACAAAACATAAAAACAAACATGATTACAATGCTCTCCAGAATATATTTTGCTGAATGAAACTGGGGGAGGGGGGAGATGGCCAGACTGAACTCCACTGGAAAAGTATTCTAGAGATTGGTGCTACCTCTAAGAAGCAGCTATTTCTGGCCTCAGCTGCCATTAGCTCTCCAAAATTAAATACTACCTAGAAGCAATCTTTCCCTTGGCCAATTTTGGTTGAAGGAAGGGGTCTGTATGTACCCTGATGCCGAGCAATAATGGTCAGATATGTCAAAAATGGCACTTTTAATTGAATCTGCAAACTAATTGATAGCCAGGGCATGGTTCTTATCACAGGTGCTCTCAAAGACAAGTGCCTGTTAACACAGGGTCTATTGCATTCTGAAGTAAGGTAGCATCAAAGGGCTCTTTAAAGATAATTTCAAGTAAAACACATTGCATCCAACCTGGATGATAATATGGGCGTGAATCATTGTAACAAGATCCTCAAAGCTAGTATTCCAGCTGAAGCTGAGCAAAAACACTATCAGGTGCTACAACTCTAGAAAGAGCCCCAATATTTACCGTGCTTATATCAAGTTGAGAAAAAGAAAACCAGTTTAGCTAAGTCCTGCCTGAACTTTTGCTTTTCCTGGGCATGTAGTTCCCTACTGGCAAAACTATGACACAGGAAAAATTATTTAGAAGAAATTATATCCACTCCCTAAGACTATATTTGAACCTATCTAAAAAGCTGTATCGTTACAAAACTGTTGAAAATAACAAAACTGTTTTTTTTCTTCTCCCTTTTTTATTTTTATTCTGTTTTTTTATCTAGTATGAAATCAAGGTAAAAGACATAACATTTAAATCAATGCTTGCATGCTGTAAGCTTTGCATGGGTTAAGTGCCGCTTGCAGCCAGTGGCAAAGCCAAAGCAATTTGTGTATGTCTTTATTCCAGCTGTTGCTCTGGGGCTTGCTCAGTTGGCAACCGATCCTGCTGCAGCACATCAAGCTACCCCCCAAGTGCTTAACAGAGACCTGCTTCATGCTGCGTACAATCGCAGCAACAGACACTTAGTGGGCATCTTCACACAGCGGTTTACATCTTGCTGTGCTGGGTTTCTTTTTTGGTTTTGTTTTCATTCACTTTTTTCCCTATTCCTTTTAAATTAATTAGCTCAGGATCCTAAGGAAAGAAAAAGTCTAGATATGAATTATAATAATACTAGCTTTAAAAAGCAGTCTTATGGTTCAACTCAGTGTGGGTCAGATTAATGATCCAACTTAGCTAAAAATATTGGAGGAGTGAGAATTTGAAAACATGGATAGATTTAAACAAAAACACATCTAACTTGGACTTTTCAAGCTGATGTATTTGAGAAGGTTGAGACTGCAGTTCCCTTGATGTGAGCCACAATCCAGTGCTTCTGGCAATCACCAGTCTAGAAGAACTAAAGTCTCATATTTCCATAAAGGCTAGAGGAATATCTCTTTCAAGGACATAACTTTTTCTGTCATGTTAAGGAAGTGCCCTTTGGGGTTGAACTGAATAAAAATCCAAATAGTCCAGCTATTTGTTTTGAACGGAAGACAACGAAAAGACTTTGTATGATTGTAAGGCAGATATCAAGCTGATTATTCTCATTCCCTTGTTGTTTTCATCTGTGCCTCACGGGTTACAGAAGATTACCATAGTAGCTAAAGGTTCTGTATAGCAGTCCTGGTAATAAGATTCAGATTTGTTTCCATTGACTCTAGAAGCCAAAGCGTTGTCTGTCATGTATGGCATTTTTAATTAGCTTCATTTTTTTTCATTGCTTCAAACAAAACTTCAAAATTGTTTCCAAGGCTTCCTTTATTCAGATGGCTCCTACACATGTGTATGCTAAAATTAGAATTTAAGTTCATGTGATAAGGTTGAGGACAGAGATTTTCTTCCCGATCTTTGTCAACTGTGCTCTGTTCCTTTAAATAAGTAATTAAGGAATATCATGGCTCCTACTTGAAAATGAACCATAAAATCAATTTTGGAGTCATTCCAACATTTTAAATTGGTTCAAGTAGATTTTCTAGATCAATGTGATTTTTGTGAGTTGATTTGGGGTTCCCAATTGGATTTGACAACTTCATTCATTCAGAGACTTGATCAAATTACTTCCAATCAAATTTCTAAATCTGGGCATCATACAGCCCAAGAAATACTAGAGGGAAGTAAAGTTGTTATAAAAATGCAATAGACTTTGAAGAAACAGGGAAAAATTCACATGGGAGAACAATGCTTGACATTAAGTTAAAACTAAATTGTATTTATTATTACCAGATCTGCTTCTCTGGCTCTGTTGGTGTCCACAGGGAAATGAGAATAAACAGCATGCAAATTACCCCATCCTTACATTAACTTCAGTTGGCAAAATAGAATAGAATGGAGATAGTTCCTTATTTTTTAATCTAAACTTCTGAGTATTGCCAGTTTTTGAAAGAGGGATGCTACGCTTTGCTGAGATGGCTTCAGTGCAATTGAAAAAAAGAAAGCCTACCAACAACAATGAAGCAAAATTTTAAAAGTGCTGTTTATGAACATTTAAGCTGTTAAATTAGAGTATATTACAATTCTGTACATATATGAATTGTGAAAGATTGTGTTTCATGTCTAATGCCAGATCAATTCTTATTTTCACAAGCATCTTTCACTTGGTAAATGTATAAGTTAGCCATGTATCTCAGGATACCTCCGTTTTCTGTAGCGTAGCTTCTGTACAAAATTCAGGGCCAATCTATTTATAAAATAGTTTTTCATGGCTAGTGGAGTGGTAACATGAATATGGTAAAAATTGATTTAAAAAATCAGAATTATTTGGTCCTGGGGGGGGTGTCATATGATTATTGTAATGTGTTGCTGGGGTTTTTTTGCAAATTTGTGAAGTTAGAGTCTTTTATTTAAGACTTCAAGATACATAGTAGCATGTATTTTAAATTACATCTTTCCCTTGTGAGCAAATATAGTACAAATCAAATTTAAACAACAAAAGTGCCAGTGTACCTTCTGAATTGCACAATAATGGTGATACTTTTGAGTAGATCTCATGTCAGACTAGTAAGTTGCTAGAATATCTTTAACTGGAAATTCTAGTATTAGAAAAATAAATAAGGACATTTGGATGAGAAGTGAAACGTCTTCAAAGAGAAAAAAAGAAGTCCAGTTGCCTCATGAAAAAAGCACCTTTGGGATTAAATGCTTATAGTGCATAAGACATTGTACAAGAATTAATTTAATCCTGTAGCCGTTATATTCTAGAAGAGTAGCAATTATTTGCAGAAAGAATTTTGTCTGTGTGTATTATGGTAGGAATTCATGAGTTCAGTGGTTCTTAAGTCCATGAAATTTTATTTATCGTGTATGTGTTGGTCTTTAACTAGAAAATAAATCTATTTTTACTTTATATTGACAGACCAGAAGTAAACACAAAGAAATATGCAGGCTGTCTCAAGGATATTGAAATTTCCCGGACACCATATAATCTTTTAAGTAGTCCTAACTATCTTGGCATTACCAGAGGGTGCATATTGCAGGTTAGTTTCTGAACTCTCTTTGTTCTCCTTGAACAAGTTAAAACTATTGGTTTACATTAGCAAACAGTTAATTTATAACTTGCACTGAACTAATTCAGAAAGGAGAAACTTGCCCTTCGATAAATTTTTGTATAAATTTCTCCATCTCCTTCCATTTGAACATAGATTGCCATTGCATCCAATCCATCAAACCAAAGTTTCATTACAGATATTCCTCAATTTTCAACTGCATTTAATGATGGTTCAGAATTAAATGGTTTCCAAAAAAAAGTGACTTACCATTCTTTCTCAAAGTTACAACCATTCCATCATCCCTGTAGTCATTTGATTACAATTTGGGCACTTAGTAACCAGCTCTCTTTTATGCTGGTTGCAGCATTTTATGCTCATTTGATTCCAATCTGTGATCTTCCCAGCCAGCTTTGAATAAGCAAAGTCAATTGAGGAAGCCGAATTCACTTAATGAATGTGTGATTCATTTAAAGACCATGTGAATTGCTTAACAACCACATGATTTACTTAACAACCATGGTAAAATGGTCTTAATACCAGGTCCAGACATGTGATGATTCACTGTATGATCACCTCACTTAGTCACCAAAATTCTGGCCCCAGTTTTGGTCCAGACTACCTGTATGTGGCAGCTAGCAACCTGGATATTTCAAGCATGGTCATTTTTCATATTCACCAGCATATAAGATCAACATCAGATGCCTCTGTGTTGTTCTGCCATCTAAGGGTTCTCCACCATCATCTTATCTCTATTGGGTTCTTCCACCATCACCATATGGCAGTCCATATACATTTTTTTAATTTTAGCATCCCAAGTTTGGAATTAACTTATTAGGAGTTTTTAAGGGAACCATCTGATATCATACCGTCCTTGAATCCTCTTCTGTGAGGTAGTTTATAGGACAACTTTTATAATACTGGCTATCAAGGTTGCCACCTAGTAGGCTCCATCTGTGCCTTGAAATTCCTTACTGAAGCTTTTCTCTGTCACTTCTTTCACTAGTACTGCATCTACTTTCCTTCTGAACTCCTGTGGCATACCTGATTCTTGTTCCTAGCAAAGAGGGGGAGGGGGGAGGAGGATAATTGACAAGCTAAGAAGAGGAACATCAAGGGAATGCCCAACTACTTAATAGATCTCTGCACTGAGGACTTCAAAGGTATAGCACATTTTTGGCAGCCATCTGCCAATCCTAGATATCCACGACCAAAACTAATAGGATACTGGAAGAAGCTTCACATAAAAAATTATTTCAGGCTGAATCTAAGCCTAACAAATGTTTTCAAATGTTGAATAATTTAACAGATGGAGAAGTGCTTGTATAGCACTTTGAAATGTAAACTGTTGCACCATTTATTATGATCTGCTGTTACAAGCATTTTTTTATTCAATTCCTTCTTTCTTATAGAAAATTTACACAGTCAGCTTCCCCAAACCTGGCTTTGTGGAGATGCCGCCAGTCTCTCTTGAAGTGGGAACAGAAATTCACCTGTCCTTCAGTACTAAAAATGAATCTGGTATTATACTCTTCGGTACTAATGAAATATCTGTGCCTCCAAGAAGGAAACGCAGGCAAACAGGGCAGGTACGGAATGATAAAAGGGATTGTTTGGTTGACTCTTACTAGCAAATCATTGACAGGTATATGCTCAGATTTTTGGACTGAATTGATTCCAGGTTTCGCTAACAATGATCCTAAAATGGAATGCAGTCTCAGAAAATTCATTCAGAAGTTCTTCTTTTGAAAGCTTTAAAACAAGTACATTTTTTACCAGTATTGTATTATTTTAAAACTATTTTAATTGACAGGATAGAAAGACAGGGTATAAATTAAATAACATTTAAGCAGCTAATTTTTTGCTAGAATAGAATAAAATAGAATCGTGAAGTTCATAAAAATCATGAAGTTAGAAACCAAAAAAAAATGTGACTTCTATTCCTGCCAATGAAGGGATGAAGCCAATTGAGTGCCTTTGACCAATCACTTTCTCTGTACTGTAGAAAGGTTCCTTTCTACATATTCTACACTTAGGCAAGAAAAAACAAATGTACAGGTACAGACTAGGTGAAACCTGGCTCAATAGCAGTAACTGTGACAGGGATCTTGGAGTCCTAGTTGACACTCACTTAAATATGAGCCAGCAGTGTGCTGCAGCTGCCAAAAAAGCCAACCTAGTTCTAGGCTGCATTAACAGAAGGATAGAATCAAGATCACTTGAAGTGTTAATACCATTTTATAATGCTATGGTAAGACCACACTTGGAATATTGCATCCAGTTTTGGTCACCACAATATAAAAAAAGATGTGGAGATTCTGAGAAGAGTGCGGACAACCACAAAGATGACCGGAGGGCCTGGAAGTAAAACACATGAGGAACAGTTGCAGGAATTGGTATGCCTAGTCTAGTGGAATGAAGGACTAGGGGTGACATGATAGCAGCATTCCAATATCTGAGGGGCTGCCATAAAGAAGAGGAGGCCAAGCTATTTTCCAAAGCACCTGAAGACAAGACAAGAAACAATGAATGGAAATTAAACAAAGAGAGAAGCAACCTAGAACTGAGGAGAAATTACTTAACAGTGAGAACAATTAATCATTGGAATGGCTCTCCTTCAGAAATTGTGGGTGCTCCATCACTGGAGGCTTTTAAGAAGAGACTGGACAGCCATTTCTTTGGAATGGTATAGGGTCTCCTGCTTGTGCAGTGGGTTGGTCTGGAAGACCTCCAAAGTCCCTTCCAACTCTGTTATTCTGTTCTATTCTGTATTTCCAAAAATCTTGCCACGGTGCTAATTGACTAGTCCAGGTAGTAGTCATGATGTACCAAAAAATAAATAAATAAAACAAACTCTACCATATATATTAGTATATTTTCGTCTACGAGGAAGAACCAGGGGGGGAAGGGGGGAACCTAAAGAGCACAAGAAAAACAGGCCCTCCAAAATATTGTATGAGATGTTTGCATCTATCCTGTGGTGTATTTCAAATGATTCCTTTATTACAGTTAACTATGTTATGTAGCTATCCAAATTTATAAATGTTCTTGGGGTTTTTTGCACTGAAAGTAATGGGGAAATAAAAAAATGAGACAACAAGCTTAAAGTAGGACACTTGAAAAACTAATTCCATTTTCATCTCAAACAACCAATTTTGTCTATACTTCTTGAATGAAATTGAATTACCCCTTTGTTTTTGCACTTCCCTGAACTTCAGAATGCAATTTTGGTTTTAAAAATAATCATGTTAGAATAAAATGCATGGAAGACCCATTATTTTAGGATTAAGTAACAATAACAGTATATTTTGTGGGGGGGGGGGGAATTCATATACATTTTAAACTGAAAATTGAAACAACAAAAGAAAAAAACAGTAACCAGATGACGCAGGCATTCTAATCTCGACAGTATCCATCTTTTATCAAAGCTAAAAGAATCCTTAATTCAGTATGTGATTACAGTATGTAGGTAGGCAGGGAGGTAGATAGGAAGATGTGTTTGTGCATGTATGCATGCACACATATATACAGATACAGGACAGGAAGGCCTGGAGGAACGTTGTTCATAGGGTCGCGATGGGTCGGACATGACTTCGCAACTAACAACAACAAATACAGATACATCCATGCATACACACACACACACACACACATACACACACACACAATTATTATATTATGAAATGCTGCAGAGTTCAGCCATTTCCCACTTACTATTTAATATTTACGCTAAGCTACTGACCAAAGCCATTCTTCATTATAAGTGAGATATAAATAATATGCCAAGATTACCCAGAATTGCCTCTCTGCCACAAGCTGGCTTGAGATATGGTGGAGGTCCTGACTTGATGCTGGGAGACTATTGGGGACTTTCTCCTGGAATTTTGGCTTCTGCTTGAGCAGCAGGTAGAGACCATAGCCAGGAGACCTTTTGCACAATCACATCCTTTACACCTTTCTTGTGAGATGGAGCATTGCAGGGGGATGTTAAGCTTTTTTCTGTCTTCCTGGATTGTGCCATTATATGTATTGTTTTTTTTTTGTTCTGTATAAATGTGTGTGTGCGCGCACACACACACAGACAAACACACACATTCTGTTCCTTTACTGTATGATTTAGGTAAAAAAGTTAGAAGAGCTGTTTAGGGAAATCTTAATGACACTTTTAGAAGCTATGGAAAGAGTATAGTTCAAACTCTGGTTTTCAGTGATTTATGCTGATGATACACATATATTCCCGTCCCTTTTTGATAATATCAATACAATAATACAGATTAGAAGTCCAATCATACCTTCAAATCATTGCTAGTGGCCAAAACTAGTCAGGTTCTCCAGATTTAATAACAATAATTTATTAAACTTGCATTCCATATGATTAATACAGTAATGGGATTTTTTTCCTGTGTGTCCTTTTCTGAATTACCAGAGAAGGAGTCTGTGTTTATCTTGGAGAAAATGGTTAGAAATGCATAAAATTAGGAATAAAGGCTTTCTGCTGAAATGCTTGTGGTTCCTTTCAGGTGTATTATGCTGCATTCCTGAATGGAGGTCGACTTGAAGTACATATTTCTACTGGAGTAAGAGATCCACGCAGGATCATTGTCAAACCTGAGTCTGGCGTGTTTCATGATGGCAAGGAACATTCCCTTTCGTTGGAGAGACTTGGAGGGTAATAAATCAGAAATTAGGGGTTCTGCATGCACCCTCTATTTTTCTGCCACATGCCTGAAACTGTAAGAGAGAAGAATGGAATCGCTGTGTAGTTTTCATTTAAAAATCATCTTCATACATCATCAATGGTGAATTCATTGCTAAACAGGTTGTGCTTTAGTATAGGCATTACGGCTTCCGGTTTTCATTAATATAAATTGCTATGTTTAAATTTAGACACCTTTTGTAAATGCACTTTATTAATCTAACTGATGTATGGTATTTATCAAACATTATTGAAGTAAAGAGTAAGAGAATTAGGATTGCCAAGCCAAAAAAAACCCCCAAAACCTCCAGTCTCATGGTTTTCTGAGTCAGGTACCCAAGACATGATTGATATGCCCTCAAACTCAAGGGAAGAAAGTGACTCATAAAAAAAAGTACCACATGACTATTTGTTTAAGCTAGAAAAACTAGAAAATTTGACATTATACAAATGCAGTACTGAATTTATGGTAACTACTTTTGCCCTTCATTTCTCGTGTTTTCCCTTCAATTGTTGTTCCAAGCGAAGCAAGAAGCCAGGGCTGCTATCTGGGCTGCAAAAATCCAAATTGCTACTAAAAGTCAGCAAAGAAATAACAGAAAGCTCTCTTTGCTATCATTGTCTGTTGTTTTTTTCCCAGTCTAAATCACAGAAGCATTATATGCAACCATTTCCAAATTAGGTTTATAGAGCAATGAGACTCATTATCGTGGAAGGTAATGCTGGTTGCAATGAAAATAAGTGATGGTGGCTTAAGGAAAGAAGATGAATACCGTACATCTTCTTATCCAGATTAAAAGCTTTCTTTGATCATAACAGGATATATGTTATGATATTTTGCTCTGAGAAAGTTTTTTAGACTGGTTTCTCACTGCATGTATAGCATATAGCTGAATTATTCTGTCTCAGAGTAATCTTAAAAAATCTGTCTGCAATTATTCTCTAAGCTTGGGAGGGAGACAAATAACCCTGCCACTGTTTTTTCCAAGCAGAGTGTTATTTTAATAGATTGCACCTCAGCAGTTTCAATAATGCACCATATGTTAAGGTAACATACTCTGGTCACCTGTCAACAAGTCTATTCCTTTTTGTATCCACCATTAGTGAAAAGAATACAGTGTAATGAACACAGGAAATACCCAGCTGAAGGAGAAGAAGAAGAAGAAAGACAAAATTGATTGCCAGACCACTAAATACCCATAAAATTGTGGCTAATGTCAGCAATAGATTTGGAAAGCTTTTCACTGTTTGGCTGCCTCCTTCTTAGACCCAGCGTTAGGCTAAGCCCAGAAAGGACATTGAACAGTTCAGCCGGAGTTCAGTTCAGTTCTGAGTTTGTGTGTGTGTGTATGTGGGGAGGAACAGACTCAGGCTCAACCCCTCCAAGACCGAGTGGCTGTGGCTGCCGGCGCCTCAGCATAGTCAGCTGACTCCATCGCTGACTATAGGGGGCGAAATTTTGGCCCCCTCAGAGAGGGCTCGCAACTTGGGAGTCCTCCTGGATCCACGGCTGACATTGGAAGACCATTTGTCGGCCGTGACCAGGGGGGCGTTTTATCAGGTTCGCCTGATCCACCAGTTGCGACCTTTTCTGGACCGGGACGCCTTGCGCACGNGATTTTAGGTAGGGATGATTTTAAGAAAATTTTAATTGACACACAGCTTCGAATATTTGGCTTTTAATTTGGTTTTATGGGGGTTTTTTTGTTCTTTGATGTATTTTGTTTGTCTGTTTTAATATGCTGTGCACCGCCCTGAGTCCTACGGGAGAAGGGCGGTATATAAATTAAATTATTAAATTAAATTAAATTAAATGTGTGTATGTGTATTTGTGTGTCTGTCTGTGTATCTATCTATCTATCTATCTATCTATCTGTCTGTCTGTCTGTCTGTCTGTCTGTCTGTCTGTCTGTCTATCTATCTATCTAACCATCTATCTAATCTCTATGATAGATAGATAGATAGATAGATAGATAGATAGATAGATAGATAGATAGATAGATAGATAGATAGATAGATAGATAGATAGATAGACAGACAGACAGACAGACAGACAGACAGACAGACAGACAGACAGACAGACAGAGAGAGAGAGAGAGAGAGAGAGAGAGAGCAATGCCTTAGTAAGGCCACACTTGGAATACTGCATCCAGTTTTGGTCACCACGATGTAAAAAAGATGCTGAGACTCTGGAAAGAGTACAGAGAAGAGCAACAAAGATGATTAGGGGACTGGAGGCTAAAACATATAAGGAACGGTTACTGGAATTGGGTATGTCTAGTTTAACGAAGAGAAGGATGAGGGGGGACATGATAGCAGTGTTCCAATATCTCAGGGGCTGCCACAAAGAAGAGGGAGTCAAGCTATTTTCCAAGGCGCCTGAAGGCAGGACGAGAAACAATGGGTGGAAACTGATCGAGGAGAGAAGCAACTTAGAACTAAGGAGAAACTTCCTGAATGTTAGAACAATTAACCAATGGAACAACCTGCCTTCAGAAGTGGTGAATGCTCCAACACTGGAAGTTTTTAAGAAGAGACTGGACAGCCGTTTGTCTGAAATGGTGTAGGGTTCCTGCCTGGGCAGGGGGTTGGACTCGATGACCTCCAAGGTCCCTTCCAACTTTATTATTATTATTAGATTAGATAGATAGATAGATAGATAGATAGATAGATAGATAGATAGATAGATAGATAGATAGATAGATAGATAGATAGATAGATAGATAGATAGATAGATATTAGATGGATCGATAGATGTAAGATAGATGGATCAATAGATAGATAGATAGATAGATAGATAGATAGATAGATAGATAGATAGATAGATAGATAGATAGATAGATAGATAGATATTAGATAGATGGATCAATAGATAGATAGATAGATAGATAGATAGATAGATAGATAGATAGATAGATAGATAGATAGATAGATAATCTATCTATCTATCTATCTATCTATCTATCTATCTATCTATCTATCTATCTATCTATCTATCTATCTATATCTTCCATGAAAATGTTGCCATCTGTACTGGCGCTTAGCAATCATTAATTTTATTAAATTTCCAATTGCTAAAAATGTTCCCACTATTTCACTGATAATATGGAAATTGATATATTGATAGTACGACAAAAACACTAATTAAAAATCCCAAACAATACACCATTTATTTTAGCAATGTAAATTGAAACAAGACTGTTGATATGTTTGCTTACAAGGACAGTTTGTAGTTATTACTGTTTCATACTTTTTTCTAGTGGACAAAAATACATCCTAACCTCATTCTTTAAAGAAGCCTTTATCCAAACCACATGTACAGCAAACATCAGATTTTTACAAACTGGATTATTGTAAAAATGGAAAGAGATAATTTATCACACTAATCACTCCATCTGCTAATTATCACAAAGGCTTTATTTTATTAAAAGTACAGTGCATTTTTGAAAACTCTTTGGAAAGCTAATTGCCCATATAATTATGAACTAATTGCTGTCCATTCCAGGGTAATTATGTGATAGCATTGACAAGTGAGGTTCTTTCTTTGTGTGATGGTCTTCTCTGCCTGTGGATAAGCATTTTCTTGGACAAATTCTACAATAGTAAAGTGCTATGTAAATTATCAGAGATTTAACTAGCAACCATGTTAATAAGTCATTATACATATAGCTTTGCTATAAAGATTGTCTCTTAATGCCTGTTAATAATATCTAACAAGAACAATAAGCTTTTATTATTCTATTATCTAGTATTTCTCCATTTGGAAGGGAGAAAAAAAGTGAATGCTTTATCCCAATCCTATTCTGAAAAGTGTGGCTTAGTGTACATAATTATAGTGTAAAAAATGAATGTGTTCTCTTTGTTGTGTCCAGCTCTTTTATGTTCATTATTAATGAGCAACTTTATTGAATTTTAAAATTAGGAATTGGTAAGGTCTTATAGCGCATGTAAATGGACCAAACTACTTCCATACTCATTATTTACTATTAATATATTTATTTACATATCTAGAAATAGAATTCCATTGCTCTCTTTTGCCATGCATGGTTTTGGGAGTGTTACATTTATAAGCTTTCTAGAAATGTTTTTAACAATATCAACAGGTAATAACAAGATGTTAAAGTTTATTTCATTTAAGTCATTGTTGAAGAAACCATACATCTAAACAAATAAAGAATATGGAGGAGGAGGAGGAGGAGGAGGAGGAGGAGGAGGAG